AGGGGGCTTTGGAAATGGGGGCAGCAGGTCTGGGACAGGGGCTGGATTTGGGGGAGCTGCTCTGGGCCAGTCTGGGGGTCTCTCCGTGTGGGTGCCCTGGGATCGGTGCATCCACGTGGGAAAGGGGTTTGGGAACAATGTGCTGGGAGGGGAGGGGGAGCAGCCCCGACCTGCTCCCAGATATTCCTTATCCCCCTGGAGTTTCCCCCTGTCCTGATCCTCTCCCTTCAGAGCTGGAATGTCTCCTCCTGGCTGACATTCCCGATGGGATGGAAGCCCTGACCCCTGACAAGGCCCTGCAGCACAACCCTTGCTCGGCGCTGGTGTCTGCTGGTGCCACCGACGGAAAACCTTGGGAAAACGGGAAAAATGGGAATGCAGGTGAAGCCTGAGCGGGTTGTGCTGCATTTCTGGGCTTGAATCCTCTGCAGTGTGAGGCACTTTTGTGGTCCCGGGGTGGGGGAGCAGAGGTTGTTCCCCCAATCCTATGTCGGATCCGATCGGTGTCCGACAGCTCCAGGAATGGGCACGGAGCTGGGATCTCAAGCCTGACGCTGGTCATGACCTTGTGCTTGAAATAATCGAGGTCCTTCACTGATTTGTGCTGTTTAATCAAAAAAAAAATTCCAATTCCAAGCGAGAAATCCCATTTTTAGGTAGAACTTAAGTAGAACTTAGAATCCTTTAGGTTGGAAAAGATCCTTAAGATCACCGAGTCCCACCGTTCCCTCAGTCCTCCTCCTCCTAAATCCCACGGGAATGACCTGTGCTGCTTTTTTTTTTGGCCTCCTTTTCCATGTTTTGAGGGGAAAATGGGAAGGAGAAAAGAGCCTCCCCAGGGAGCTCTGCGTGGTTTTAATGCTGAGCTGGTGTGGCCAAAAAGGAGGAAGTTGGAAAAAAACCCAAAAATCCTCCAACCCACCCCATTATCCCAAGGGATGAACTTAGCTGATCCTTGGATCCTGCCGGAGGAGGTCAGTGGATCGATCTGTGGCTGCTCTAAATGAGTTAATGAATTAACTAGCTAATTAATTAATTAATTAAAGAAAGCAAAAGTGAAACTACGTGAGCGGAGCCGGGAGGAAGCTCATCCCGTGCCGTGGGTTTGGGTTTCTCCCGCGCGTTTTTGGAGGAAGGAATTTGAATTATTTCTGCTTATTTCAAGTAAGGTTTTATTATTTTATTCCGATAACTCGAGAGAGAGAGTTTTGTGCTGCTCCTCGAGTGGAAGTGGGTCGTGTTTCCTCCCTAATGGAGGATCCCAGCTGGGATTTGTTTGGGAGAGGGTCGGTTTGTGTGTTTGGATGTTGGCTTTGACCTTCCAGGGGCAAATCCCTGTTGTCTCTCCCGGGGGGGGTTCAACCTCCTTGGAGGTCTTGGGGATAGTTTGCATTTCCACAGGTGTTGTGGCTGCTTCCTCCGTGTTGTGTTGGAGGGAAAGCTGGAAAACTTGGAAGGATTCTGGATTTTTTTGTGGTTCACTTGTTCCAAAGAGTGTGTGGGACAGAGACATGGGGTGAAATCCATGTTGGAGTGACTGCAAGTAGAATCATGGGAGGGTTTAGGTTGGAAGGGAACATAAAGCCCATCCAGTTCCATCCAGGGACACCTT